CCAAATTCTCCCTAAAGCTACTTCGATTGATTATATATTTTTGTGTTAGGTTCAGTTGAGTCAAAGCTAGTAGACAAGCCTTATTTTTATAGATTTTATGATGAAAAGTGCTACATTCTCTTTGGAGTTTTCCCTATGCAAACTTGTTGAGGACCGAATAGAAAACAATTTTATATTATTTACTCTCTAAAGCTAACTGAATTCCAGGAATCAAAACTACAATACGATCACTAAATTTATTTGAATAATGCTACCGTACACTGTTCCTTAAACGTAATTAATAGGAACAGTCAGAATCATTATTTACTGCTGTGTCCTATCTGTAATCCGATAGAAACCAACGATTTTAGTTAATATTTAAAACTATCAATAATATTAATAGACCAGCAAGTTATTACTTCTACACGCAAATTCCCAATAACATCTAGTGATTTAGTCAAATACACTAAATAGTCATTTGAGAGTAATTTGTGTCATATTTTCAGGTTCATAATGAGCCCAAAGAGCTTAGCAATATTATATCGATTTATGGCACTAAGTGAGATAGATATTAATCAGCAATAGTCTGCTTAAGGTTCAAGGGAGCACTTACTGATGAATTTCCACTATTAAATTCTAAATTATTTATCCAATAGTATCATTTTACGCACTGTTAAATATAACGATCTTGTTTTGATCGTGGTTAACATCAAGAGTACATAACCTTTATCAGTTTCGGGCTAGAATAAAAAATGTTTCTTGTGCTTCATGATTTCCAATAAAAATCCAAAAAATATTATTTATTCCAAAAAGTTTTTGTAATCAATTTGATTAATTTTATCCATTTATAAGTAATAATACGTCACACTTAGATAAAAAGAAAGCATAGATAAAATTAGGGCACATTTTTCCGTTGAACATGATCTCGATTATCTGTCAGCAAATGACGTTTGTATATAGTTGAAATCATGAATCAACTGAAGCTAGACCACCATGAAAAGCCTGGAAGCACTGGACGGCCGTTTCGTCCTATTGTGGGATGCGCACTGCTGAGGAGTCCGTTCAGTGCTTCCAGGTTTTCCATAATGGTCTAACTTTAATTGACTCTTGATTTCAACTATATAAAATTACTAAAATCTCCACAAAACCCTTTCGGAAAATGACGTTTGCCTTAAAAAAATTAACTTAATTTGAATGAAACTTTTAAAAATGAAACTACTTTTGAAAAAATGCAATTACTGAAGGATACTGTGAGATAATTAAAGAATTTCATCATTTATATAATACAATATATTGATAACCTACTGTGTTACAATGTAATAATTACTACTTATTGTCAAATTCTTCTAAAAATGAATAAATTTACTTGATAATTATTTTGAACTAAGATTTTCATTGTAAGCAAGGATGGCTATATCGAGACAATACGCACAATATGTACATACGCCAATTAGAGACTGATCAGTTGCAGTCATAAACATCAATGGGAAGATTCAAACAAGTAATACTAAGTGAATTTAAAATTTTCTTTATTCATATGTTTTATCATTTAAATTAACATAGAACTGTCAAACTTAGTTAATTTTTCATTTTATGATATTCAATGTCCAATATTATATGACTTTGTTTTTTTTTCTTAATTCGATTGACCAAATGAATCCATAATATCTCAGTTATAATTTCCATTTTAAAATTAACATGAACAATTGAATGAAATTTAAGAAAAGTTAAATGATGACAGAAATTTCATCTTCTTGGTTGTTCGGTTACCTTTTTTGTTGTTTTTTTTCTTTCCTATGACTGAAAATTCACTAAACATTAAAACAGATTGTTTTCTACTTAGTTCATTATCATGTTTTATATATTTATTGCTTTCTAAAAGAAAAATGACAATATAGAAGTAACAACTGATAGAATATAGTAGTAATATGAAGTTATAAATTACTATGTATTCCTTTCATATCTAAAATTTTATCTTTCGTTAGTGTAATAAGAAGACGAAAATGATCAGAACTATGTGATATATTAGCGCAATACATTTCATGATCTGAAAATTAAGGTGTGTGAACATGTACCAAAATAGTTGAAAGCATGAGTCAGTTGAAGCTAGACCACCATGGAGAAACTGGAAGCACTGGAAAGCCGTATCGTCATATCATGGGACTCCTCAGCGGTGCGCATCCACGATCCCACCTCGCGAGATTCGAACCCAGGATTTACCAGCCTCACACCAGAGCCCTTAACCGATAGACCACTGAGCCGGCATCCAACGGTGTTTACGTCTAACTTCAAACAATCCACTAAGTTGAGCAACCGTTCACCGATTGTCTTCAGTTAGTTCCTATCTCATAACAGACGTGGTTTGAATTCCACTGGTCACTGCTTCTCACTAGAACTCCTGGATTTACCTCTGGAGGTCAGGTTGGTTGCAGAAACAAATAGAATCAAATTACCTGATAAGAGTAGAGGATAAAATTCCATCATCCTCTATCGCCAAACATATAATCGAAACAGGCCATAAGATTGATCTTAACTCAGCTTTTGTGGTGTTGTATAAAAGTGTAAAAGTGCGTATACTAAGGTTTATTGAAGCCTTAGCCATACGAAAATTCAAACCCCCTTTGTGTATTCAAAAACAGTTTGTTCTCACCTTAAACCTACCCTGGTAATATTAGCTTATTATCCAGAGTGATAAAGTTTTAAATTGTTTTCACATTATTATTATCCTTGTCTCCTCTTATCCCCATTCCCAGTCTAGTTGACCTTTGATTTTTATATATAAATGTTCTTAACAAGTATATATCATATAGTTCTGATAATCTTCGTCTTCTTATTACACTATCGAAATTTATCAAAGGGACTAATTGCTTTAAAATTTTATTAATGATGAATTTGTTCTGAAATGAAAGTCTAGAATATCCCTGATGGTTTTGTTTTAAATATTATAAACTTAAAAAGTTCATCTATTCTATCAGTTAAAGTATTAATTTTGAATTAATAGCTTACATAGTTATGTTGACCCTAAAAAATATATTTCAACTGTTTTTTAATTGATGGTTCTAATATTCATCTCATTGTAAATATTTCAGTTAAATTCGATAATTCTTAGTGAGATTAGAAGCCAAATGATAGGAGGTGAATTTACGATGTGTATAGATGTATTGATCTGGCGTTAGAGTTTTTTTCAAACAACAGCAGTGATCATTTCAAATATACTTTACCTTACTCAATTTAGGTATTTTGTTATTAGTAAGAAAAATTACACAAATGGATATAGTCAGTATGATGAATTGGTGAAAAGAATGTATATCTCAAGTTGATTCCTTTGGTGGTCCTAAGCTCTTTAAGTTGAGTAATAATGAGTGCTTTGTTATTAAATTATTTAGCCCCAAAAACGCAAGACTGTTAAAATTTATTGGTGATAGTCCGTTGAATTGATTTTTAGTTGTTCACTATTTTCTTTATTTGATTACACTTTAGTATTATATAATACCATTTCGTTAGACGTTTCATGCATATGTTCTTTAAAATAAATAAATCTTCGAAATAATATTTGGAAACTAATCCGAATCCAAATTAATCTCCACAAACCTGCTAGCCAAACTCTAATAGCATGCTCACTTGTGACTGACTTTAAGATAATTTCCCAAAGTTTTAATGAATGGAAACATTCAGTTAAAACAAAAATAAGGCAAGTAGTCGTAAATGTCATTAAATAACATTTTACTGTATCATAAATTAAGTGAATTTAGAAATTCAAAACAATGGATACCAGCTCAACGGTTTGTAGATAACATGGTCACTTAGAGACTTGAGTGTCTTGGGTTAGTTACTTGGTGGATACGTTTATGCATATATATGAGGAGTTTCATAAGAGAAAACACAAATGTTCTTTAGTTTTTAATAGTTTCCCTATTCATATTAATCCGTAAGAAAACCAACTTCGATCAGAAAACATTTTCACAAATCTTTTAATCTAACAGGAAACTAATTACATTATCATTTCATTTTATATCTATTGAAATATGAACTCATGATTTATAAAAGTATTTACTGTCTACATAATTTCTCTAATATCTAAGGTGTATTCATGTATTATGATTATCGGTGATCTTTCATTGACTCGACTCTTTTTTAAAGACTTCCATCTTCATATATAAATAACTTACATCAACCTAATTGTTCATTTTAATTAGTTTAACAATGACCATAAACACAAAACAAAATTATTATCACAATCAGAATACTTGTAATAGGAAGATATCAATGAAGTTGATAAGTAAGGTACATCAAAAAATTATTAATTATTGACAGTTTGAATATTTCTAATCAGTGAAATGTAACCTCATTGTATTGAGTTGTTAGAGGTAGTCAACAGAAAAACCTGTTCGACCAAGGTTTATTGATATTTGGAATTCGCGAACATTGTGTACCTGTGACTTTAAAGTGACTGATGCTCTATGTGAGATTCGAACCTGCATTACTTAGCTTCACAGTTCTAAGCGTCACTACTTAGCAGTTTGGACTGCTACTGACTTTTTGTAAAACTGGGATATTTACTATTGACTGACTGATAGAATTTAATCAGTACCAAAGGACTAGACAAATATGATATTAGTCACTACCCAGTGATCAATCGATTATAATGTTCATGCTTTCTACATCAATTAAGATTCTATGGATTGTATTTCTAGTTCTCAAACATAAGAAATGAAAGACTACAAATTATGTAGTGTTAAACAAACATGTTTTCCTCCACACCTTATACTGTTATAACTCGGTTTTTAAAACGTTATGGCATTGATACGACGATTGAAGTGTAAGTAAGAACCGAAGTGTAAAAAACTTCTTATGAAAGTTCTTTGATTTGATAGATGCCTTATCAAAGTTATGGTTAAATAATATTAGAATGATAAGATTTATAGAAAATAATTAATTCATTATATTTTGTCCTCTTTTCTTCAGTTACATGAATCATTAAGAAACAAATATATATATGTAAGGTAATAATTTCAACGTACTTCTTTCGTGAACATACTTATATCTTCTTGAAATGAATCAGATGAACAAACATCAGCTGAATTATTGGAACTCTCATCTCTTGGTATACATGTGGCTAATTCACATTTTTCAAATATTAAAGCAAGTAAGGGAAATAATGGATGACTGTAAAACAAACAAAAAAGTAAATGATTATTCGTTTAAAATTCATTACATTCAATTACATTCAATACATTGTGAAATGTAGTATTCAAAACAAAAAGAGAATACAACTGTACTAATTTAATGAGATAACAATAATTTTCAAATTTCACCGTAAACATATTCAAATTGCTTCTCTTAAATAATCCATTCGATTCATGATATAGTTTTCAAGTTGTGTGATATAATATGGTAATGTTCAATTATTCATTTAAATTTACCTTTTACTCTAAAAATTAAGAGGTTATATTTGAAACTTCAGAAAATATACCTACATGAATCTATGCATTAGTATATGGTATTGTAGTGGGGTTTACTTATATCCACATAAGTAGTATATAGTGATGGTTAGACTTAGAATGTATTTCATTAAAAGATTGATAAGGAAAGAACCAAAACGGAACTCAGTTGGTATGAAAATGCATGAACAATGAAATCAGGGGAGATGGACTGATATTTGAAGAAGGAACAATCAAGATTGAGACAATTGATTGTTATTTTGCAAATTAACTGTTTACTGTTTGGTTGTCAGATTTCAGTGAGAAAGTCTGTAGATTTGTGCTCACATACATTCGATTGTTCCCACTCGTGTTCTCATTCACTACAGTATGATTAAAAGTTTTTTATGTTAACGTTTAAGATAAATATTTCGTTATTATTTATAACATAAGAATTCATAAGACAATACAATAATTAACGTGACATATTAAATCTTAAAAAAAATAAATATGAATATTACTAGAGATTTATTAGGATTGTTTAAAATGAAGTTTGTACAGTATTACATATGGACTGAAGTTGATAATGAAAAATTCTGGGTCTCCATTTAGTAGTCTAAAAGGTATAATGCTTTCAAGTGAAAAAATAAAGGCCATAAATTCATATTTAGTCATGCTTGGTTACACAAAAATGTAGAATCTTAAAGTGGGATAAATCGTTTATTTAGTACTTCCTGTGTTTTCTTGTTTTTTTCATTATAGCTTGCCAATTCAGTTTTAGATGAGAAATCAAGTTAAAATTAAATGTTTATAAGTAGCTCCCCCCCCGAAGAAAAAAAACTACGAACACATCTACCGTTTATTTACAGTCATATTGTTAGAACAGTAAACTGAATAACTGTTAATATGAAATTCCAGGTTTTTTATCACTTGAACTTCACTATTGATTAACTAAATTAAACGACTACTAAAATTAACTGAAGTGATCGTGATAGCTATTATTTTGAGAATAGGTATCAGACAAGTGAATTAGATTAAACGCGATGTATATCCCTTAACCATTAAATACAAATGATTAACCTTAATCTCTTTTAAAATTTTCATTTAATTATCACATAATGATTAGGGAACTTTTTAGGTAATATATATGGATATATATAGGTAACAGTCAAACTAACCTTTTAATCTTTTCAATATTCTGTTTCATATCTAATCCATTTTCATCTGTATCATTATTATAAGGACAATTACTGCCACCATCACTGATATTAACACGAGAATTAAGAAATCGTGAATAATGTTCTAATGAATTCGATACTGGAGTCATACCACTTATTATCGCTGTTGTTGGTGGTGTCACTGCTCCAGGTGTTGCAATCGTACTTGATGCAATTGATGAACCTATTAATGAATTTCTTAATGAAAAATATTCTTGATGTTCATAAGGATTTTGTCTTTGCGTTTGTTGTTGTAAAGGTTGCAAAATATTATTATTACCTTTGTTCATATTAGAAATTCCTCGTGTAGAATTAGAATTTATTGACATAGTCAATTTATGAACATCAATTGGTGAGTTGGATGATTCGCCTGGTGGTAATAACAAATTCGGTAATAATTGACCAGCTGTTGGTGGACTAAACAATCCTAACAGTGTTTCACCACCATAAATTTCACTGTTCATAATTTTCTAGTTGAAATTGGTGAAGACTTTTTGTTATAATTTTGGGAAGTGTATTGTTCTAATGAATTAATTTTATTGGAAAAGAAAGAAAAGGTAGATAACATTTTTGTTACACAAAATGTTGGAGACAAAAGAAAAACAAATTATGCATTTATCTCTTTGATATATCATATGGGATATATTCATGAATGCTACCGAAATAATTAGGACTATAAACCTAGAATCAGTCACACTTCTGATCATCTGCCTAGATTTGGGAAAATGACAATGTCATGAATGATCTTTTCTCTTTACATCACTCAAAAATAGTTGGAAAGGATAACTTAAAACTAATTTTACTGAAAACTTAATAAATTATGTCGTCTTTATATAAAGAGAGTGGTGTATGATGTTAAAATGAAGCAGATAAGTTAGTCAAAATTTTCCAAATTAATACATAATTTTTAGCAGCTTCTATCACTCAAGTTAGGAGTAAACGAATTAAAAACCTATTAAATCATCACATATAGATCAAGTAGTCTCTAAATACTCCTGTTTTACTTTACACTTACTTACTTACCTACGTCTATTATCCCTCGTGGAGGAGCATATGCCCCCCGACAACATTCCTAATACAACTCTGTCCTGGACAATCCTTTCCAGTTAATTCCAGTTGCTATTCAACTTATTATTGTCTGCTTCCAATTCTCAACTCAGTGTGTTATCTGATCTTTCTCTTTTCCGTTTCCCTCCAGGATTCCAAGTTAGCGCTTTGCCTTGTGATTCAGCTTGGTGATTTCTGTCATGTATGTCCTAACCACTCCCACCGTCTTTTCCTAATTTCCTCTTCAACTGGAAGCTGTTTATTCTGTCCTACAGTAGGTTGGTGCTGATGGAATCTGGTTGGATTTTACAACTAGTGCATTAATTTACTGAAAACATAGTGTTGATGACCATAGGAAGACTTTTAATTACCAGTGAATTATCAAGTCATTAAAATTACATAACTTAACTAATCGCTATATATCCATAAATATGAATGATTCGATATAAACGTAAAATGAGAAATTATTTTGTCTCAATTCTGGGAGGAGGCTTGACTTTAAAAATAATAGCATAATGTTGAGAAGCAATAAACCAATTATTTAGTTATTATCAATTTAGAAAAGATTTCAGCATCTACACTGAATTATTATTCAGACTACTTAATTAAAAAATAACCAGAAAATCCAAGTCAACTACTTTTTTTGATTTAATAAATAAATTTGAAGAAACTCTTTCTGCAACCATCAGAAGTATGTTTTATTAAAATAGGTTCTTTCTCAATGTTTTCCTACTGAAATTGAGTAATTTACATTAGCTGAACAAATATATATCTCATGACTCAGTAAATATCAGAAATCTTTGGATAATTGCCAATTTCCATCATCTAAATAATATCGTTCAATTATATCTACACTCTGAAGACTATCACCACTAAACTGAAAAATTCACATTACACATTACAGTAGCCACTATTAAAATTCAGGTTTAAGAATTTCAATTAGTTGTCTATAACATCCACGAAGTTATATTAGCTTAGAATATGTATATGTACTGTGATGCGATTGACAGAAGATGATCAACACTAAGAAATAGTACTTAAAACAATCTAATCTAAATATCTGAGTTCTTCACAAGGTGTTTGGTAAAACGTTTTGTTTCTAACATTCGATGACACGGAACTCAACTGAAGAATCTTAACTAACATGATACCTACCAATTGATTACCAAAATCAGAAGCTTAAGTTCATTATTGAGCAACAATACTAGGTCAAATTAACTCTTCCAATTCAACGCTACTTTTAAAAGATTTTTGACCGTTTTAATGTGCCTCATTATCATACTTTGTCACTTGGAAATAAAAGGTACATGATTTTAAAACTTAACTACAAAATATTTTAGGTTAGACTGTTTACTAATTAACTCATAATACTCCTGTATTCTGCATATAAGATAGTATAGAAATTCTGTTATTATTTACCGTCAATTAAAATTGTTCAGTGGTTTAAAAAATTAATAGATTCACGCATATTTACGAACCCAGGTTGCATGTGAATTACCCAACTGGGAACAGATAAATAAAGTTTTTGACTCGTCTAATCATGTATTGATCATTTAAGCCATAGAAAGAAGGAAAATAAATTTTCAAACGCTTTCTTGAATTGAACATCAATTCTTTCAAAGAAAATAAATGTACACACATACACACACTCAGACAAAAGGTGATTAGGCAAGTGTAAATTTGCATACATATGGATTTACATAAATAGAAGCTATTATTCATGTAACCAATCCTTATCTGATTAGGAGAATCAAGCATTATAGCGCATACATTCATCATCATTTCTATTTTGTGACATCAATCTTGATATTCATAATTCCAATCAAGAGGAAGTGAGGTCAAAAGATCATTAGAAGCCTGTAAGTTATATATATATATATATATATATATGTATATATGTATATATATCTGTATATATATATCTGTATGTGCACAAATACACATACATTGTATGAAATACGAATTTGGGGAAAGCCAAGTAATAATGTTATTTATTTCTAAATGTCATGAGTGTGCTTATAGAAGTGTGTGTATGTGCGGATTATATATATTCTATCAAAATATTTGATTAAAAAAAAATCAAATTCATTTCTTAAGCTGAGATAGCAGCAAAGCATATCTATCGAAACTTGACATTATTAAGCCTCAAGTGACAAAGATTTCATTTATCGTGTTCGAAACTAAAGGAATGTGTAAATATTAATAAGTAGACAGGAACTAGGTCGATAACACAATCAATGAACCCCATTACACAAGCAAGTGGCTATCAGGACTCAGTAGCTGAGTGGATAACGCGATGACGTGTGAAGCGAAAGCTACTGGGTTCGAGTCCCAGAATGAACATCAACTCTGAGATGTAGGTACATCCAGCTGACGAGTCCCAAATAGGACGATACGCGCGTCTTGGATTCCACTGCTAGCCACTATCCATCTCTGGTTACAATGCTTGTGAAATAAGGCGATATCGAGGCAATACGCACAGTATGTACATTTGCCAATTAGAGACCGACCAGTTGCAGTCCTAATCATCAATGGAAAGATTCAACACAAACAATACTAAGTGAATTCTGACCTAAAGATGTTTGTATCTGCTCAGTCTGTTTAAGAAACTGGCTTTTGAAGTTCACACTATTTAATTGCATTACACTGCGTGACCCTGAAATCCAGGGTTTGAGTTTGTCCTTCCATATTACTAGAGAGTTCCAGCTGTTTGGTGTTCTGAAGTTTTTCAGTGGCATTGATAAGCGGCAAAAATAATGATCAATTATCTAGCCTACCAGAATAATTTGTTGAAGAATTACTACCAAAGAAGATATTTTAAGTATATTTTTCTGCTTTGGTTAAACCATATTCATTTAGAAAAATGCACTAATGAATGAGTTACTTTCATATTTTTCCAAACATGTGATCTTTCACTTACTAATCATGGTTTCTATCTGATATTATTCATTTAGAACCATTGGATTTATTCCTTTTAGAAAAACATCAGAATGATATCACATAATAAAATACTAAATGGCACAAACTACTTATAGAATCAATCATTTTAAAGATAAGTCAGCATACACTGCAATCTTGAATAACATAGTCCAATAGCAACATTTTAACTTAATTTATAGATTTCTATTAACAGTTAAAATTAGTAAATGACCAAATAATGTTTAAACAACTCAGTTATACAGGAGGCAGCCCAAATATCTTAACAACAATGTCTTTGACTGTGACAGTGGGTAACACAAGGATCATATGTTCTCCTTCCAAATTCAAAGATATGCATTGATAATGAGTATAAATTAATACGAAACGTCAGTTTGAGGCTTCGTGAATATTACATCCACCAATATTACATTACTTTGTAACATGATATGCTAACTAACAATAATAGTAGTACATCCAGTCCATGAGTGACAGAATTTTATTTAAAAATACATTTTACTGTGAAGCTGTTAATAGCGACTAGTTGGTGAAATATCTGCAGATGTATAATTGATTCTACTTAAGACTCATTAAATAAGAATGCATCGGAAATTGTCGATCTTATTAACAGTGAATTTTGGTATGCCTTGTTTTATAAACCTGAAATTCTAAAAAGTAGATTACCAATACATGATTTCATATTATCTACTTGAACCCAGTCAATGAATTTCATTGTATTAATTTTCTGCTATGATAGCCAACATCCAGTATACCGAATACTAGTGATACATTGTTAAACTGTCTAAGTGTATGAATATAAGTTGTGTAAAAGCAAAATAAACAATTGCAAATGTAACTATATCTAGTCTCATTACTTGTCAGTTAAATAATAGCTTATTTTAAAAATACAGACACAAAGCGAAAACTTAACGGAAAATATAAACATATATTGTATACACCAATTTCTCATAAAATAATATTTTAATTAGTATAAAGAGTTTATGGATATTGTTGATTTCCCTTAGTTTGCATCAAGGATTGGTCTTCGAAAACTACTAAAAACTAGGATGCACTCGATAGTTAAATGAGTTAAACCATGTATGTTTCCATATAGATTATTCATGAAGACTTATTTTAATATTCTTGTCGAATTGAAACCGTTTCATTATTATTATTATTATATTATTATTTTAATTTAATATTTTCAAAGGAAGGAAAAGAACAAATCACTTGCATAGCTCAATATAAACATTTAACGGTTGATGTACTAATGTATATATCATTTAGATAAATACAGTCTGACCAATGAAATCAATTTCTTATATCCAGTACCTAAAATCATGTTTTCGTCTCAGTTGCACTTGAAGCAATGTTATGACTATCGATTGAAAATCATATTGTGGAACAAAAGTCTGATATACTAATACTAATACCACTAATACCACTACTACCACTCATAATAATAATAATATAGGGAGTGATAGATTTATTAATTGTTTAATGAAGAACTAACAATATCTGATCAAATAGTTGTTTAGTGCTCCCTAATTTTCAAAGGC